CAAATCGATAAAATAAATGAAATACTGCAATGTGGGTATCAAGCTAAAGAGTTTTAAGAAGGCTACAGCCGAAAATATATTTGAGGAGAGTTGCCACCTGTTTGAAAATTTAACTCAATATAAAGATAAAATAAATGACCTCTTACAACAAAGGTGTTAAATTAAAGGCATTTAAGGAAGATGACTGTTGGAAGCAGTGTTGCCGCGAATCATTTTTAGTGGTAGCCAAATTCCTTAAAAAAAAATGCCTAAAAAAGAGCTAAAAAAGTCGTTGTGGCTAAAAATGGTAGCTAAATGTAAAATAACGTAACAACATCGTCACTGAAATGGAAAAGTGACAATTTTTTTTTTTTTATAAAACGATGTGGGGAGTTTTAATTCGATGAAATCCATTATAGCAATCAACAAGTGAATTTTCAATTTTTTATAAGTTACGACTTTTTGCATTTCAGTGACGATGTTGTTACGTTATTTTGCATTTCAGGTGACGATACACGATACACGCAAAAATTTTAAATAACTAATGGTATAAAAACAATTAACTCTGGAAAAAAAAGAAAATATTTTATCCAACCAAACCCCTTTTTGTATAAAAGGGGAAATATACGACACCAGCTTGGTGGCTCCATTAAGTGATTGTACCATCAGCCTCGAAGCATATAACTTACCAGCATGCTGGTACAATATTTATTTTTTAACAAATGAGGCCGAGGAAAGATCGAAATGATTAAAGCAGAAATTTTAATATTTTTCTACCATTTTGTTAAACATTATTTTTTTTTTTTATTCAAAACTGCAATATCGGGAACTTAATCTTCCACGAACACGGCTTTGACTCATATAGTGCAAGAAATTTCCGCCAAAATACTTTTTACTTAGAAAATTGAGCTAATTTCACCACTTACGACACCAGCATCCTGTACAATCATAAAATTTTCAAATAGTTTTTAAAGTAGCACCAACAGCTGGTACAATCACACCACAAGAACATACACGGTCAATCGACTTGATGGGCCATTTAACAAATTAAGCATATTAAGGGCCGTAAACTTATCTATTTTAAACTATAGTTAAATCGTTAATAGATAAGATAACAGCCCTACCACTTTTACAGCATGTATGTGTAAAAACGTAAGGAACATACAATACATATATGTATATACATCAGTCTTTCTTAGATTAAAAATTCATCTCTTACATAAATGAAAAAAATGAGATCAATATGCTTAATATACAAATTTTTCATGCCAAGTAAAAATAAATTCTCCAAAGGGCTAAAAAAGGGCTAGGGGCAATTTTAAATTTATCTGGAAAAAAAAAGTATGTGGTAGCTAAATCAAGCCACCAAAGATCTAAAACGGCAACACTGGTTGGAAGCGTTTTTGAGGAGGGTTGCCAGGGGATCAGAGATATCAGTGATGAAAAAGTAGGTACAATTGTACCTTTTTCCGACGTTTGCTGACCTAAAGGTGCATTAGGTACAATCACTATTTTTTAGGTACAATCAGCTTTTGATCAGATGAATTTTTATTCTTATTTTTTTTCCATTGCTGTGATAATATATTTACTTGTCGGCATGGGAAAAAGTAGGGAAAGTGGTAAAAAGGAAGAAATTAAGAAAATCATATTATGTATTCTCTTACTACGAAAATTAACACTTTACTTAGCTATCCTGAAATTCGTAATTCTTGTTGTATTTTTTATATTCGAAATTGGAATTAATTTCTTCCATAAAACGTCATTGCGCTCTAGACCGATGTACTCCCCTCTCACGGTGTGAAATCTATAAACGCTCTACCTTTGCAATTGCTGGAATGCATTTTTTAATCTATTGAAACCATAAAAGCTAAAGTTCCCCGCATATGATAACATTTTTAACTTTTCTATTAATTTTATTTCCCCATACAGTCCTAAATAGGTCTAGGATTTATTCAAACTTCATAGTTTCTGTAGTTGAGGGCCTGAAATTGAGGCAAAAGCTATTTGACCCATATTCGCTATTTGATTTCTCGAATTATTTAAACTGCTTTCGAATATACCTACTTACGGCAATTCCCATTATTTTCTCTAGGATTGCTGCAGCTATTAAAGGGAATCGGATAAATTAGCAGACTTTTCCTGTTGTTTTATAAAAAGCTGTAAAAAAAGTATACTTCGCAAAGTGTGTTTTTGGTCTATTTCGCCAATATTTTTCAGTGGGCAAAATTAGATAAAAACAAAGCTTCTCCGATTCCCATTAGACTAAACTCTGGATGTAGATATAAGCTCAGTTAAAAGAAGCTAATCAAGTTTAAAGTACATCCACCTTTTGTATTCATATTTTAAAAAATATTCNATTAGACTAAACTCTGGATGTAGATATAAGCTCAGTTAAAAGAAGCTAATTAAGTTTAAAGTACATCCACCTTTTGTATTCATATTTTAAAAAATATTAAAAAAAAACACGTACGAATGATTTAATTTTTTTTAGGTAGGTCTAATTTAGGCGCATTTATTTTATGATATTAGGTACAATCTGAAATTTCCATTTTTCATCCCTGGTGAGTATCAAGCTTTAGATTTTTAAGAAGGCTTATACTGTCTCCATTGTGAGATTTAATGAAGATTTAGCCCTCTGACGAGATTTGATGTTAAAACTTTTGAGATTTATCATATAAAATTAAATCTCGAAAGGCAGTAGATTTAAGTTAAATCTTCGTCAAATCTTCAATAATATTGATCAATAAGTACAATTTGTTGGATGTGGCAACCACAAATTCACATGCCATAAGTCAAATGACATTTGTGTTTTCAATATACAGTTGAGTACATTGAAATCTAGCCTATCATAAAAACATGAATTTTCGTATTTTTAGGGATTTTTATATTTTTTTGTTAGTTTGGGAGGAAAATTAGTAATACATATTTACATAACTTTGGTTGTAATAAATTAAGAAAATATTATTTTAAAAACTAAAAATTTAGAAGAAATGTTTTATAGTAATATCATGCAGAGTCTTCTCCGCTTTCTATAAGTCATTTACGCGCTGCGACAAAAAATTTATAAATTTCGGTAATGGTTCTGCTTCGATAACATTGCACCGAACATCCTCTAGAACTCAGTTCGTATTCATGATATGCCAAAGGCCCACGATTGGATTTTCGGTTCCCTCCTATGAATAAGAGAGTTCTACAAAAATTTTTCTTTCCGCAAATGTTTTTTACCGTTTTGATAATTTTTCTTAAATTCGGGAAAATGATTCGGAATATGGTACCATTCTTTACACTTTCCAAACTATATATTATACATACATATTTACCACGAATAAGAAGCCAATAATATTCAGAATTCATATAATGAAATTCCGCTTGGTACCTTCCTTTTATTTGTCTGTATATCAATGTCCGCAACTGTATTTGTAAAATCATACATAAGCAAACGTCAAATATTTAAAAATGTGAACGTCAAACATATCTCGTAATGGTAATGGAGACGGTTGTGATTTTGCAACTGGATTTATTAAATCTTAATGGATAAATCTCTCAATGGAGACATAGTATTACAGCCGAAAATATGTTTGAGAAGGGTTGCCACCTGCTTGAAAATTTAATTCAATTTAATTGATAAAATAAATGACTTATTACAATATAGGTATCAAATTAAAGAGGTTTACATTACTGTTGGAAATATTTTTCAGGAGGGTTGTCACCTATTTGAAAATTTTAGCTCAGTTAACTTGATTAAATAAACGAAATTTTGCAATGTGGGTATCAAACTAAATAGTTTTAAGAAAACTTGCAGTCGAAAATATGTTTGAGGAGGTTTGCCACGTGTTTGAAAATTTAACTCAATTAAATTGATAAAATAAATGAAATGTTACAATATGGGTACTGTAGCGTATTTAATTATAAAATTGTATTTTTAAAAAATTTTATTTTTATATAAACTTAATTTTAATTTAACGTATTTTAAATTTCAAAGAAGAAAAAATTCTGAAGTAATCAAAAATTTTCTTTTTGATTTACATAAATTGAAAAAGAACTTAATTCAATAATTTCAAAAATAACAAAGTACAAAAATGAACAAAGTACAATAGTAAATAGTATTAACACTACAATACTCCCCCTTCCAGAGAGTTATTATTATACAAATTGAAAGTATCTTGTTTCTTTTTAGTCGTTGTTGAAACTATATGGTTGTTAGTGTTATGTGGTTCTGTTATTTCAACTATTGCTGGCTTTAGTCTGTCAATCGAAATAATTTTAATTTCATTATTCACATCTAACTTAAAATATTTTTTGTCTTTTTCAATAACTCTGTAAGGCCCTTCATAAGGATTGAAGAGAATGCTTGTTAACAATGCGAATAAAAACAAATTTGCAAGTTTGTAAATCTTTTGGAACATAAATTCCTGAATCGGAATATTTGCGATGTTTTAAATTTGAATTAAAGTTTTTAAAACGTTCCCGTAAACTTCCTAAAATTTCGGCGGAAGTAACATTTTCTGTAGTTGGCACAACAAGTTCTCCAGGTAGACGCAAATTTTGGCCAAAAAGCATTTCAGCTGGAGTGGCTGCAATATCTTCTTTGTACACTGAACGCAAACCAAGAAGAATAATCGGTAGCTCATCGTACCAATCTCTAGTTCCATTCCTAGCCAAAATTGAAGTTTTCAATTGTCTATGGAATCGTTCCACAATACCATTACTTTGAGGATGATAGGAAGAAGTTGTGATATGATGACTACCAAGTAATTTAGTAAGTTCCGAAAATAATTTGGACGTAAATTGAGTACCCTGATCCGTCGTGATTTCTAAAGGCACACCGAAACGCGAAACATATTCATTAAAAAATTTATTTGCAACTGTCTGTGCAGAGATATCCTTTACAGCATATGCTTCCGGCCAACGAGTAAATCTATCCATAATTGTTAAAATGTAGCGGTAACCTCTTGAAACAGGAAGCGGTCCAACAATATCTAAATGTATATGTTCAAATCTGCTCTTCGGAATTGGAATTGTGCTCACAGGAGATTTTGTGTGACGATAAACTTTAGATTTCTGGCAACTTATACATCCTTTTGACCATATGTTTATCTCCTTGTTCATACAAGGCCAATAATACTTCTTCACAATTAATCGGCGTGTAGCCTTGGTACCAGGATGAGCAATTCCATGTAACATATCGAACACTGTCCTGCGCAAATTATTTGGAACGAAAGGTCTAGGACTTTCTCCTGACACTTCACACCAAATATTAAAATTTAGAATAGGAATTTTAATTAAATTAAGATTTTGAAACGTTTGTCCAGAAATAAGTTTATTAAGTTCACTGTCCTGTTGCTGTTCACTCTGTAAAATTTTGAAATTAAGTTCTGAATTTTTAATCACATCTATTTCAAACGCACGAGATAACGTGTCAGCTACAATGTTGGTCTGTCCTTTAATATACTGTATGTCACTAGTAAACTGTGCAATAAACTCAAGATGCCTTGTCTGTCTTGGACTACGCTCAGTTTTGGAATTTAGAACAAAAATCAAGGGTTTGTGGTCAGTAAAAACCGTAAACTGTCTTCCTTCTAATAAATACCGAAAATGTTTAATATTCAAATAAATTGCTAAAAGTTCCCTGTCAAAAGCACTATATTTCATTTCTGCTGGAGAGAGTTTCTTTGAAAAGAACGCAAGTGGTTCAGACTTATTATTGAAATGCTGCTGTATGACACCACCAATTGCTGTATTGGATGCATCTACCGTTAAAGACAATTTTGCATCTTTACTAAAATGATTTAGCAAAATCTTAGATGCAAACTTCTCTTTAATGCATTCAAAAGCTTTAATGGATTTGTCATCCCAAACCAAAATTTTGTCTCGCTTTTTACTTGTTTTATTAATTAAATCATATATAACTCCAGTAAACTCAGCTAATTTTGAAATATATCTATGGTAATAGTTAACCATACCAATAAACTTTTGCGCTTGTTTTATTGACTTCGGTCGTTCAAAATTGCGAATCGCTTCTACTCTGTTTACAGAAGGCTGTATCCCTGCCTCAGATAAACAATGTCCTAAAAAATCTATACTTGGAACACCAAAAATGCATTTGCTTGGTTTGACGTTCAAACCATACTCAGACAAACGTTCGAAAAGTACCCGTAGATCCTTTAAATGTTGTTCTTCACTCTCACTTGCAACCAGTAGATCATCAATATACGCGAAAACAAAATCTAATTTACCTACTACTTCGTTGATGAATCTCTGAAACGTTTGCGCTGAGTTCCTCAGCCCGAAAGGCATTCGGGTGAACTCAAACATACCGAAAGGAGTAGTAATCGCCGTTTTAAAAATGTCTTCTTCTGCCATTGGAATTTGGTGATACGCTCTAACTAAATCTAACTTTGAAAATATATTTTTATTCCTAAGGTTCATATTAAAATCGTGAATATGAGGCAAAGGATAACGATCCGGTACAGTCACATTATTAAGTCTTCTAAAATCACCACAAGGACGCCAGTCATTAACTTCTTTCTTTGGTACTAAATGAAGTGGAGATGCCACGGATGAATTTGATGGTCTACAAATCCCTGTTTTTACCAAAAAATCGAATTCAGTTTTAGCTACTTTAAATTTGATAGGATCTAAGCGCCTTGGCTTAGAAAAAGGAAGGTTTCCTTCAGTGACAAGTCTGTGAACCGTTGTATGCTTAACCGGTTTTGAGTAATCTGGCTCAGAAATAAGGGAAGGAAATTCCTTCAATAATTTTGTATATTGATCATCTACTGAAAAAATTTTTGGAAGAGGGACATTGCAAAAGTACGAAATTGTATTAACTGATAGATTTGTTAACGGATCTACTAAACACTTGTTTTTAATATCAATAAGAAGTCCATATTTACACAAAAAATCAGCTCCTATAATCGGCTTCGCAATATCAGCAATCAAAAATGTAAAAAGGAACTCACGCCTTAAACCCAAATTAATATTCAAAAGTTTCTTCCCGTATGTAAAAATAGTTGAGCCGTTAGCTGCCGTTAAAATTATATCTGAAGATTTCCTAGTATTCGAAAATTTAGAAACTGGAAGTACCGAAATTTCTGCTCCGCTATCAATTAAAAAATTTAGTTTGTTTGTTTTATCAAATATAAAAAGGCGACGTGTGGAAATGTCCAAATTCCCGTTGTTTGTCGCCGCAACAACGGACGACTTTAGTTTGTTGGACTATTATTTTTCGAAAATGCACATGGTTGTTCACATTTTTTAGCCTTGTTTCCAAATTTATAATGATATCTACATAACCAATTCGGATTGTCGCGTGATTTTGATCGATATCTAAAAGGGCTCCTAAAACGATTCCTATTCACTGAACGTGACCTTGAATAATTTTGATTCATTTCCCTCCTCATTTCACATAATTCCAAAGAAAGTTTTTCAAAATTTTTAAAAATAAGAGAAGTAGTGTTAACCAAATTAGCCATGACTGCATTTTCACCTTTTGAATTTTGAAAATCATTAACTGAAGCTATCTCGCTTTTGCTAATAATCTCCCAAACATTATCAGCCAATTTCGTCAATTCACTAATACTGCTTGAATTAGAACTAGCTAAAATCACGCTTAGGTTCTTCGGTAACTTCCTCATCCAAAGTTTCTTAAGAATTTCTTGACTAAAATTGGAACCCGAAAGCAGTACAAGTGACCGATAAAATTCCGAGGGCTTACGATCACCCATTTCAGTATCCGATAAAATTTTGTCTAATTTCGCATTCTCACTTAATGAATGCCTTTCAATTAAAATTTTCTTAAGTGCAGTAAATTTATTATTTTCGGGCGGATTTTGAATAAAGTCTAAAATCGTTATTATAACTTCTTGCGGAAGTGCAGTAATTGTATGTTCATACTTTGTTGTTTCTTGTGTAATATTTTTGGTACTAAACTGCATTTCCGCATGAATAAACCACGCTTCCGGACAACTTGTCCAGAATTGTGGTAGTTTGACCGATGTAGCACAAATCTCATTACTATTTCGATCGACATACGGATTTGTTAACTGTTCGTTAAACGTACTATTTTGTAAATCAATAAGAGTTTCATTTAAATTATCTCGTGTAGATGTATGTGTATCATGTTGTGGTGAACGAAACATTTTGATTATTTGAATTTGAGCAAATATCAAAAGACCTCAGAAAAGGGAAGTTTACAATTAAAAAATTAAATATTATATATGTAATATTTAATAAATAACAATTAAACTCTGTATTTAATTATTTTCAACAAAACTAGCGCTAAAGTTATACAATACAGCTCACCAGTAAAACTAAGATTGTTGTTGATGTTAGCGCTACTGCTGCGGTCGCTGCTGATGCCGCTACTGCTGCGGGTGACTTCGATGCTCTAGCCTCGTTGCCTGTGTCCGCTTCTTCGTCTTCTTCCTCCTGCAGCAGCAATGGCAGTGATGTTGGAGATGTTTTGTTTCGTTCTGTTAATGCGCTACTACCAGCTGGAACTTCTCCTATTACGCTCAAAGAGGAGCATTGAGCACCGCTCAAACTTTCCGGTTGCTGTTCTTGATCTTGAGAACGCTGCTGCTGCTGCTGGTTATGTGGTTGTTGTTGACTGGTTGATGCAATATCAGCACTTAAAATAGCTTCTCCAGTGACTGCTTCTAATGCAGATGCATCAATGATATCGGCAATTGTGCTAGTGTCGTTGAATGCGCATTGGTGCGTTTGAAGCTGTTGCTGTTGTTGCTCTACTAATTGTGATTGCTGATCTTCAACAAAAGGCAATGGGGATATTGCTTTCTGATGTTGCGGCTGCTGTGATTCAAGTTGTGGTGATAACGGTGGTGGTAGTAGTGCGTGTTGGAATATGCCAGCTGCTCGCAATGGTGCTACTCTTTTTCACTGCTGACTATTGCGACGCATTGCACTTCAACATTTTGGTGTAACATCTCATCATCTGTGGACTAGTACCGCGGAGCAACAAACCAAGTGTACAAAATCAATATATCAGCTTAATGTAATTTCTTATATTTCTCCTGGCAGGATCGCCAATTGTAGCGTATTTAATTATAAAATTGTATTTTTAAAAAATTTTATTTTTATATAAACTTAATTTTAATTTAACGTATTTTAAATTTCAAAGAAGAAAAATTTCTGAAGTAATCAAAAATTTTCTTTTTGATTTACATAAATTGAAAAAGAACTTAATTCAATAATTTCAAAAATAACAAAGTACAAAAATTAACAAAGTACAATAGTAAATAGTATTAACACTACAGTACCAAACGAAAAGTATTTGAGATATATTGATTTGCTCAATAGGATTATGCAATATGTAACAGTAAACTAAAAATGTTGAAATTAAATGAAATATTATATAACTGGTTCGAAATGGAATTTGGTTGGGAATGCTTTACTAGAGATTTTTTTTTTAATGTTTCCACTTACCCAAATCCGAACAGTTTAAAAAAGAGAATTTACAACATCTTATCAAACGAAGTGATCATATTATCAATGAAGAGTTGGTATACAAATTACGCAATGAAAAAATAAAATATAACTACTCATACAAATGAAACAAGTAAAAAAGTCCAAGTTCAGGCGGAGCCAAACATTAGATACCCGGCGCGAGTATCAAATATAGTTTTTTTACCTTTTGATACGCACGCCTGTACGTCAACGGAAGTGTGAATACGTGCATATGTGGGTGTACACAAAGCAGCCATAATGTTGCATAAACGCTGGCAACATCGTATAATTAGTCGGTAATCATGAAGCGCTAGCAACATTTGCTGCGATAAAGCAGTGTGCGTGTAGTAGTGTGAAAGTGGTAAGTTGAAATGGGGCCTTTGAGCAGAATCGTGGATTCCATGAGTGATTTCATTCGACCAAGTCACCTCTATAAAAGGCCGTAAGGATGGCCAACGGGATTAATATAGTGGTAACGTGTCCAGTTGAAGTTGAATTTGTGGCGAAAGTTAGCGCGCGGAAGTGTTTTAAATACCGATATACTTACATACAAAAAAAAGTAAGAAAACTAAGATCGGTGTAAGGCGCGATATTCAAACGGTTCCGCACATATTCATACCGCCAGCTATTAGTTTTATATTAAACCAGCTTTCATCGAGTTTATCTGACCGGAATTGGAGGTAAGTAAGCGTGTCAATAATATAACTGGCTTACCAATGCTTTGGAGCGCCAAAAGTCCCAAAGTCAAGCGTTAGCGTAACAGCTGATCTGGAGACACAGGCCGGAGTGGGTCAACGGCCGCCGTAGTACGACAGAGGGAACTGAACGGCAATAGCTGAGCACCAAATCAGCGCGAGAAGAACGAGGGATTCAGGGACTACGTGGGAGCTAGCTAAGCAACAACAACACCAACATCGTGTACCCGTCACCAGAGCCACCAGCAGTGGAGCAGCAAAGCAGCAGGGACACTCATACATTAACATAGGTAGCATAATCTGCTCAAACGGTTGCACTCAATTATTAGGTTGAGTACTTTGTTAGTTGAGATCGGATGTCAAATAGAGATTAGAGTTAACATTTCTTTCTTAGAGAATTTTTTTTTGTAGAAGAATATTATCTTTTTAAGTACATACATAATTAGTTATTTTCTTTTCATAGTAGTTTTAACGCTGAAGTTTTGCTTACCTAGTTTTGTATTTTGCTATTCCCTCTCTTGTTAGTTTATACGCCACTAGATTAGTTTCCTGTTCACTAGAGTTATTTATTCTTCTTTTAGCTTACATTCTCTTATCAGGGATTTTTCTTTTGCATTAGGTTTAGGGATTTTTCTTTTGCATTAGGTTTAGCAATAATACAGCTCTCACTCACTTCGGCACACCTAGAATTCATCGTGCACCCTAATATGATGCAATTTTAGAAGAGATTTAGTTTTTTTATATAAAAAGGAAAAAGGGGGATAAATTTTTATTCCGATGAACTGGTGATGTATACACCCGAACGCAGTTTAGATATATCCGCGTTTTTTTCTGTTTGTTTTTTTTTCTTCTGCGGTTTCTCTTTTGGATTGAGTCCGGTATATTACTCAGTTGAGAACATACGTAGTACTGCCTGTATGTATGTAGGTACTCATGTATATATGTATGTATGAAGTTTCTCCCCACGCAGGCTCTTCTCCGGAATGTTGGTACCATCATCGAAGGAGCGGACAAGGTGAGTGAGTTAAGATTCTTTTATACTCTTACGTACATATATACCTAGATACATAGCTCTCAAAAAGATCAGCGAACATAAGTACAGGCGTAAATACATAATTAGGTACTGAATTTGCTTTATCATTATTTAAATTGTATACATACTAGTAGAAGTGGAAATCAATGGTAAATATGATTTCTGGATTGAAACTATCCCAGCGTAGGTAGATCGCATGTACTTATTGAGCAATTATACGTCTGGTTAGTTTGCTAAAGCTACGGTTTGTTTTGTAGGCATACCCTTTTGATTACCTTTGTTTGAAATCTTTCGCATTTCGGTATTAATTGATTGAGTTCTTTTGTACATACGTGGGTTATACATGCACATATGCACATAATGTGAAGTTAGTTAGGCTAGCGTAAATGGAATTATAATGATGTCTTCGAATTAGTAGGTTAATGTAAGGAAATAATAGGGTTAGCGATTAGAGATTGTAAGTATTGGATTAAATTACATTAATATGAATTTTGGATGAAGCTTTNGTTTAGCAATAATACAGCTCTCACTCACTTCGGCACACCTAGAATTCATCGTGCACCCTAATATGATGCAATTTTAGAAGAGATTTAGTTTTTTTATATAAAAAGGAAAAAGGGGGATAAATTTTTATTCCGATGAACTGGTGATGTATACACCCGAACGCAGTTTAGATATATCCGCGTTTTTTTCTGTTTGTTTTTTTTTCTTCTGCGGTTTCTCTTTTGGATTGAGTCCGGTATATTACTCAGTTGAGAACATACGTAGTACTGCCTGTATGTATGTAGGTACTCATGTATATATGTATGTATGAAGTTTCTCCCCACGCAGGCTCTTCTCCGGAATGTTGGTACCATCATCGAAGGAGCGGACAAGGTGAGTGAGTTAAGATTCTTTTATACTCTTACGTACATATATACCTAGATACATAGCTCTCAAAAAGATCAGCGAACATAAGTACAGGCGTAAATACATAATTAGGTACTGAATTTGCTTTATCATTATTTAAATTGTATACATACTAGTAGAAGTGGAAATCAATGGTAAATATGATTTCTGGATTGAAACTATCCCAGCGTAGGTAGATCGCATGTACTTATTGAGCAATTATACGTCTGGTTAGTTTGCTAAAGCTACGGTTTGTTTTGTAGGCATACCCTTTTGATTACCTTTGTTTGAAATCTTTCGCATTTCGGTATTAATTGATTGAGTTCTTTTGTACATACGTGGGTTATACATGCACATATGCACATAATGTGAAGTTAGTTAGGCTAGCGTAAATGGAATTATAATGATGTCTTCGAATTAGTAGGTTAATGTAAGGAAATAATAGGGTTAGCGATTAGAGATTGTAAGTATTGGATTAAATTACATTAATATGAATTTTGGATGAAGCTTTGTATAAGAAAATGAGGCGTTAACTTCCTAATTTCGGTGTGGGTGTTGCGCTTGTGCGCAAGAGGGGACGTGGGAGTGATGACAGGCGACAGGACAGATGGACTTAGGACGACGGTATGACTGACTGACGGACCTGAGTCAGGTTAAGGGGGTGTTGTAAGGTGAGAGGGGTCAGCACAACGCCCATGGCTTCGCGTTAGCCGAACTCTGAAGAGGGTGGGTATACTCCGCCTGACGGGACTGGCCTTTTTCATTTTTCTTTTTCCACTTGTTTGCTGTTTTTTTTTCTTTTGGTTTTCCTGGTCGATACTTCTACTGTCTTCTTAACTTACCGATGAGCTATGCCAGGCACCGCAAGCATGCCGACTTGCAACTCGACCGTGCAACAGCACTACAGCCACATAACACTTTCCGAAAACTATTGCTACATGGTAAGCAGGTGTGCATCCTTCAATAAACTTATGTAGTTATATGTGGGCGGTATCACGCCCATTTTCCAAAATTCCGTAATAATAATGCTTGTTCTTTTGAAGGGATTGTGGTTAGTATCAATTTTGTGTAAATTAGCG